ATGAACCCCCCTTCCGCCATGTTTTACAGTGAGGTTTAAAAGGTTTTTTTGGATGTTGGAGTGCTGTGCCTTTTTTTTCTCCACACATGGGGTTTTGGGTGTGTTTTTTCCCAAAAACAACTAAATTTTGGGGTTTTTTCACTTTCACAGAATATTTTGGCCAGTATTGTTTGTGGAAAAATCCGGTGCTCCTTTTGCAAATTTCAAACGTGTTTGCAATTTTCTTTTTTTGGGACAAAATTTGGTTCCGGCGGGGCCCTCCCAAAAGACCAGAGATGTTTTTGGACTGATGCGGGGAAAACCCAAAGACTTCAAAATGTGATAAACCAATAAAATTTTTTAATTAACACTAACCATACAAACATAAACGCAGGGCAATACTAAACATAATAAAAGTGCAAACCAAAAAACCAAACCAACCACCCACAGATAACAGACTTTACAAGAAAAGCGCCCGTCGGGAAAAGGCCCGGGGTTAAATACCCTTTGGGCCCAGGTAGGTAGGGGGGGAAAGCAACAGAGAAGGGGTCGGGTCACAGGCCGGTTCAGCGGGAAGAAAAGCAGCAGGTACAGAGGGTCAAACAGGGGGTTTGGGGCGGGGTCACAAGCCAGGATCAACAGGAGAATCAGCAGCATTTTCAAACAGGGTCAGCAAAGGAACAGGATACGGGGCCCCCAGGAAAAACCACAACACCAAGGCAGATTCTGAAAGGGTCGGGGCCATCCCTTAAAAAACCCCAGTATCATCAGTTCCAGGTTTTTAGCTGGCTGCAAATTTTAGTCCCTGATTTCTGGGGAGCACCCGCTGGCCAGCCCTGGTACGGGCAATCAAAAGGCAGGTGAGTCCCACCATTGCGGCCTTCCTTTCCTAACATACCCCCCCCCTCAAGGACGGCCTCAGGACGCCCCAAACACCTGCGGGAAAAAAGGGTTCCCCCGCCGGGTTCTGGAAACTGGCGAAAAGAAAAGACGGGCAAAACCGGGGGGCAGGCCCCGGGGCCCACCCGGAAAACCCGGGGCGGGACTCCCGGGCAGCGGCAAAATCGACAGAGGAAACTCCGGGCAGGGGAAACATCGGGGAAAAAGGACCCTTTCAAAAAAGGCACATGGGGGCCGAGGGCACAACGGGCGGGAAACCCCCTCCGTGCAAGGCACCCCGGGGGGGCCCCAAGGCACATCGGGCAGGACTCCGGGCAGAGGAAACATGGGGCCCAGGCCCTTCCGGGGCAGGGGCACTTGGGGGAAAAGGATTCCGGGCAGAGGCACATGGGGGCGGGGATTTCCGGGGCAGAGGCCCCAATCGGATTACCGGGGGAGCAGCGGGCCCCCGGGCCCCCCGGGGGGGAGCAGAAGCCCCCGGGCCCCCCCGGGCCCGGAGCACACCCCCCCGGGGCCCCCCGGGCGGAGCAGAAAGGCCCCGGGGCCCCCCCGGGCGGAGCAGCAGGACCGGGCCCCCGGGGCGGGCGGCAGGCATCGTGCCCCCAGGCGGGGCGACGGGGCATCGGGCCCCCCGAGGGGGGGGGCGACAGGCATGGGTGCCCCCGGGCCCCGGGGCCCGACAGGCACGTCCCCCCCAAGGGGGGGCACAGGATCGTGCCCCCAGGGGGGAGCGCCCGGAAATCGAACCCCCAGGCGGAGCGACAGGTCTCGGGCCCCGGGCGGGGGCGGCGGGCCCGCCGACCCCCAGGCGGAGCGACAGGTCTTGGCCCTCAGGGGGAGGGGGGGGGCGCCGGCCCCCCAGGAGGAGCGAAAAGGTCTCGGGCCCTCAGGGGGGGGGGCCGGGGCGGCGCCGGACCCCCAGGTGGAGCGACAGGTCCGGGGGCCCTCGGCAGGGGCGGGCCCCCCCCGGACCTCCGGGGGAGCAAACGGGGTTTTGGGGCCCATAGGCGGGGGCCGGGGCCGCCGGACCCCCAGGAGGAGCGCGGGCCCGGGGCCCCTTTCGGGCGGGGGCGGGGGCCCGCCGGACCCCCAGGTGGAGCAAACGGGTTCTGGGGGCCCCCAGCGCGGTGCGGCGCGGCGCGGGCGGGGCAGGGAAGGGGCGGAACAGGTCTCGGGCCCTCAGGCGGAGCGGCGGGCGCGGACCTCCAGGCGGAGCGACAGGTCTCGGGCCCATAGGCGGATTGCAGAGGGCGACGGACCCCCAGGAGGAGCGACAGGTCTCGGGCCATCAGGCGGAGCGGCGGGCGCCGGACCCCAAGGTGGAGCGAAGGGTCTGCGGGCCCTCAGGCGGGCGGGCGGGCGCGGTCACCCAGGAGGAGAGAAGTCTCGGGCCTCAGGCGGAGCGGAGGGCGCCGGACCACCCAGGCGAGCGGAAAGGATCTTTTTTTTTTTTTTTTTGTTTCGGGCCCTACAGGCGGAGCGACATGGTCTCGGGCCCCATGGCGGAGCGGCGGGGCACGAGTCACCAGGCACGACCAGTGGGCTCCGAGTTCAACGGTATGACCGCAGTCCACTGGGTCAGACATCTGTATCGGTCTGGCTGGACAGCGGGAATCGGGTTTTCACCCGGGGAAAACAGGCCCATTTTGGCTCGACCCCCGGGCACCGCATCATTTTGGAAAGGGCCCTGGGCCCCGATCAACGGTATGCCCCGCAGGAAACGGGCCCGACATTTGTAGGGTCTGGCGGGACAGGGGGCATCGGGTCACCGGGGCCTCAGGTCTTTTGGCTGGGCAGCGGGCCCCCGGTTCATCTGGAAAAAGGCAGGGGGGTCCAATTTCAACTGGTATGACCGGGGGGCCACGTGGGTCGGGGACATTGGATCGTCGGGCCCTGGACAGGGGGGGCACTGGGTCACCGGGCATCAGGTCTTTTGGGCTCGACAGCGGGCACCGCGTCACCCGGGGTAAAGGCATGGGCCCCGGGAGTCAACTTGGTACGACAGTGACACCGGGCTCAGGTACCGGATTGTCTGGCCGACAGCGGGCTTCGGGTCACCGGGTAGGCCCCAGCGGGCACTGGGTCACCAGGAAATCAGGTAAATTTGGGGCTTGTCAGGGGGCCCACCGCGTAAATCGGGCAAGGCAGGGGCACCGGGGGTCACCAGGCATTGGATCGCGGGGCTCGACAGCGGGAAAACCGGTCACCGGGTATGACAGCGGGCACGGGTCACCACACCCGGGTCTTTTGGGTTGGGCCGGGGGCCCCACCCACCGCGTCATCTGGCAAGGCAGTGGGCCCCCGGGTCACCAGAAAAAAACAGGGGGCTCTGAGTCAATTGGCACGACAGCGGGCACTGGATCAGGTACCGGAACATCGGGAAAATCAAAGGGGGGCACGAGCCCAACTGGCCTAATGGGGAACGTGGGGCTGGACAGTTCATCATGCTGAGTACCGGCATCAGGCGGAATGAAAGGCATCAGGCGAGGAGAGGCTTCAGGCTGGAAAAGGCCTTAAAGGGCGGGGAAAGAGGCTACGGGCCGATTCACAAAGGGCAGCTAAACCGGGTTTTTTGGTTACTGGCGGGAAAGGGTTTTGGGTTTTGAAAAAAATTTTCGTTTTTTTTCTGGCTTTTAACTACTTGGAGCACTGCAAGTTAAACGACAGGTCTGCAAACGAATGGGGAGGGCCCAGCTGGAGACGAGGATGGGAGACTGGTAGGATGGGACAGGGAGACGGGTAGCAGTTGCTAAGAGGGCTCTTTGACAGGGTTAAAGGGCAGGATAGAGTGCAGCGAGTGGGAACAGGGGGATCTTGGACATCGCAGGTACGATAGCTGGTGGCAGACGGTAGCTGGTGCGGAATAACAGGTGTAGAGTTAGATGCAGGACTGGGTCTTTGTAAGTCGACTGAGGCTGGGTGTAACAAGTTGTCCATGGTCTGACAGTATGGGTTGAACTAAGCTGAGTTTACTAAAGGGTATTGGCTGGTCTTTGTCTCGCACTGCGTTGATTACAATCTCTTAGTGTCTGTGGTGAACTTGTAGGTAACGATCCAAAACGGTAACCCACATCATCTCTAATTAACCACACAGGGTACTCTCTACCTCGGTGTCCTGACACTAATTCCAGGGGCAAAAAAATTTTCCCCGCATTCGGGGGAACCCCGATAAACCAACTCTGCACAAACCCCCAATCAATGGCTGCACCTCAGGGGAACACTGGGGCCCTGATCTACTAAAACATGGGGCAAGGGCCCTATCAATTTTAGCAAATTCATCCCGGGGAAATCCCCTTCCCGTTTTGATAAACATACTCCCTGTCATCAAACACTAAACAATATAAATACTCAACCTCATCAAAAATCCATCCTTCCCCCTCCCAAAAAGCCAAATGGCTTTCCCCGTGCAGGGCCCCTTCTTTGGGCAGGATTGGGGCCTTTGGGGGTAATGCAGGGCTCCCGGTATGACCAGAGAAATGTGGACTGTTTTGCAGGGAAACGCAGGGCTTCAAAATGTGAAAAAACAATATAATTTTAACACTAACGCATACAAACATAAACGGGAGGCCAAAAACTAAACTTTAAAACAGTGCAAACAAACCAAACCAACCACCCACAAGGGTAAAAAGTACAACAAGCAAAACGCCGTCCGGGAGGCCGGGTCATTTTCAATTGGGCAGGGAGGGACAGGGGGAGAAGCAGAGAAAGGGGTTTGGGGGCACCGCCAGGTTCCCGGGAGGGACAAGCGCGAGGTAAAAGAGGGGCAGACAAAAGGGGGTTCAGGGTCACAACCAGGATCAAGCAGGGGAAAATCAGCAGCATTTTAATCAGGGTCAGCAAAGGGAAAAAAAACAGGATACAGGGGGCCCCGGGCAAACACAACACCAAGGCAGAGTCTGCAAAATCTGGCCCTCCCTTAAATACCCCAGTATCTTTGGTTTTCCCGGGGTTAGCTGGGGTGAAGGTTGAGTCTCCCGATTGGGGGGAGCCCCCCGTGGCCAAAACCCCGTACTGCAGATCAAAAGGCAGGTAGTCCCACCTTGCGGGCCCTTCCCCCTTCCTTTAAAACTTTCCCCCGTGGTGTCCCCCCCCTGTACTCCTTCTTGGGGTTTAAAAAGTTCCTTTATTGTAGATGTGTCCCCCCCAAAAATTTTTAGCAAAGTGCCAGAAAATTTCTGTAGGGCTTTTGCTGAACTTCCCGGGGTTCTTTTTTACCCATGCAGCATTCTCCTGTGCCCTTTCAGTCATTTTTTTCAGGGCGGGCCATGCCCAGGGAGAAATAGCAACATTTCTAAACTTTTTCCAATTTTTTAGGCAGTCTTTCTTTAAACCCTGGCCCAGAACATCAAGGCTTTTGGGGGATTAAATTTTTTAACCCTTTTTCCCGCTTCAAAGCAAGCAAAAATTCTTGATCGTAGGTCTTCTTAGAGCTCTTTTTTTGCGGGGATGGGTTTAAAAATCAGACAGTGCTTTTTGAAACCAGTAAACCCCAAAACAGGTGTGTTTTTTTTAAAGGAGGACGGCTGTCAAACAACACCCTCCCAAAACAAACCCCGATTGGGGTTCCCAAGGGTTTGGGTCACCTTCCCGGCTCCAATTAGCTCTGGGAGAAGTCAAAATTTAAACTAAGGGGCCTCACAAAACTTTTTCCCCCCCTGCACTGTGAATTTCCCTGTTATTGCAAATTTAAAACCCTGGGAACCCCTAATTTTTGTGTAGTATTATGTTTTTGCAAAAACGGGGTACTTCTATTGTTGTGACTTAGTTTTTCGTTCAGAGCACATTTATTCCCAATTCCTGCAAAAAATCCCTAATTTCCCAAGGGGGTTTACATACTTTTTTTTGCAACTGAAACTTACCCCGAAACCCGTGATGTTAAACCCCCTTCGGGGGCCACCACACTTTTGATAAGAAACTCTGCTCCTTCAAAAGGGCCCCCACACCTGTGATATGAAAACCTTTTCTATTGGAGGGCCAACACACCTGTGAAATGTAAACCCGCTCCTTTAGGCCAGAAGACCTGTGAAATGAAAAACCCCCTCCTTGGGGGCCTTGGGAAAAAAACCCGTGATATGAAACCCGCTCCTTGGGGGCCAGAAACCTTTTGATATGAAAACCCCGGGTTCCCTTTGGGGGCCAGAAGACCTGGATATGAAACCCTGTTCCTTGGAGGGCCAAAAAAACCTGTGGGTATGAAACCCCCGTTCCCTTTTGGGGCCAAAGCCCTGTGATTTTGAAACCCTGCTCCCTTTGGGGGCCAGAAGACCTTTGAAAATGAAACCCTGCCCTTAGAGGGCTTTAAAACACTTTTGATATGAAACCATGCTCCTTAAGGTCCCAAGGCAAGGATTTTTTTCCCCCAAAACCTCTGTGGTCCAAATGAACCAGAAAGATAATTTTAACTCCCAGCAGGATAACCTCCAAGCGACCAATTTAATTATTTTGTTTCTTTTTCGGTTTGGATTTCATTTTGGGGAAGTTTTCCTTTTTTGTTTTAAGGGGCATTCTTCTCATTTATAAATAGACAAACCAATGATTTTTCAATTTTTTACTGGAACAGGGAACGGGTTTATCTTTCCCCAGCATTTCGCAGGCTAATATTGTTATTTTCCATTTCCAAACTGAGATACTTGTCTGCACGTGGTGTAAAACGGGTTTCTGGGGGCAGTACTTTTGCCCTGTTGTGGGCCAGAACAATGCACGGGAACACAATAAACCCAAAAGGGATAGGATTGCCCTCCCAATCACAGAGTTTGGGGGTCTCCATTGAAGTTTATTTTTAATACTACATCAACAAAATATTTTAGACAATGGGGCCCTTCCAAACCTTTGGGAACAGTTTGGTAAGACCCTTGTCTGTTCCCCCAGACTATACACCGTGTACAAAGCCAGCTCCTAAAGTCGTGGACTAAAGGGAAAAGGAACTTTTTTTGATCCATCAACATACCCACTCTGAAAAAAACCTAATATAGGATCTATAAAGACATATTTTTTACCATTTTTGGGGAAGGAAATTGATGCCTGCACAGACCCGACCCGCAACTCACTGAACACCTTTGGGGTAATTTGAATTCCGATTTTGATCTAGGTTTAACATCAACACCTAGCCTACAAAGGGACATATTTCCACAAACACCCCAATACTTTAAAAAAGCCTTCCAGAACGGCAACAAAGGGGCCCCATTGTAAATGGCCATGGTTTGGAAGGGATTCCAACCAGCTCACATAGGTGTGGTGTCAGATGTCCACAAAACCCTTTTTACCTATAAGGTCCTGTGGGATCAAAGAAAAAATCCTGAAATAGCAGACCAGTGTGGCAGT